TATGGAAGTTGTAGAGAAGTTTCTTTTGTGTGTTATAAGACTACATGGTGCCAAAATAGAAATGATACATTATACAAGTACGACATGTGACCTGTCATTGCTATTACAATACCTTTAATTGCACTCGTTTTTGTATTTAAAGTTGTCTAGTAAGAATTCAGGGGTAAACGGACATTATTCTATGCTCGTACTGCACGCTATAGTGTGACTCGTTGAGCTATTATTGTTACATCTAAGTACATAGATACTACATGACTTTTGGTGACAACATCTATATCCATATAAGGAGAACTATTGTCGTTTGATTACCAGGTTATATATTTCCTGAATTTAAAAGACCTTAGGTAATATGAATGCCAACTGAATATCTGCAAATTCAAAACGACGTAAAGACAAAATAGGTAAATATATTGTGAATGGAAACGGATGCAGCCATTCTTCATTGTTTCGTAGGTAAGCATTACAATACATGCTTATATAGAAGAAATAAGTACTTTGTGTCAGTGGATAAGGTATCTTATATGCCATGCACAGTGACAGCACGATTTCTAGGAATGTAGCACGAATTTAGCTTTCCGGGAAAAACACGAGGAAAAAACTATTCTTAAATCTCCTGGAAACTCATCGGACCATAATTCGGAAAAGTATTATTCTTTACGTCAAGGTCTAAAATCCTACTCTTTCAGTATTACTTGTATAGGATGAAGAAGCTAAGAAACCGATAGGCATTGAAACTTTATTATCCAGTAATTTTTCATAAAATGTCAGCCATAAAAACAATTTTCACTCACACCCATTCGGAACCCTTGTTATGCCTGTAAACGATATTTGCCTCATATGACTATACATATCTGTATCATAATGACATCACATTATATTAGATGGTCGTTGGTAGGCCTGATCTCAATGGAGGTTTTCCATGTATCATACCTTCCTTTCGTTGAATTTTTGAAGACTATCTTCACATGTCAGTGTTCTCTTAATTGTTTCGTCCCTAAACAAAGGTCCATAGAGCGAGACCAAGTACTTTCATGAGTGTGTAAATATTTAGAATAAAGAAACACAAGTGACCAACACCTACTTCAGAATGAGAGGCAACTAATGAATAAACTGATTCATACAGATGTTCTTCTGGAACTTATCGGTGATGATAAGGGCTTCTTGGAGGCAATCGGGAAAAACATTGGTCGGAAAATGTTAAAATGTACATTTGGTGATTCACAAGCCCATTATTCAATAGATTTAAGTAATTCAGCATGAAGTACGTGTGTATATTATGAGCCATGTGACGTAACTTTTCGAACGAGTTCCCTACAATATGGATGACAGAGACGATATAATTAAGTAAGCAAGTTACTCATTTCAAATACTGTAGGTCTATAGCAACCTTCCTTTTGATACCTTTTATGCCTGCTTTACTACTTCATCTGGAGAGTTAAGGTTGCTTGGCTCCAGAAATCACTACAAACCCACATTAACTGACAAATATGTACCGCTCGTGTACGCTCTGTCAGGTTTGATTAGGACTGCAGACAATTTATTCATGCTGTGCATGTTCGACGGAAGCATCAAACACAACATTCCATTAATATTTATATGAATATAAATTATATGCTGTTTTCTTTTCATCAGCAAATGACATTTTACATCGTAAAAATTGAAAAAAAAACTTTCCGAAATGTTCAGTGACATCGGTGATAAAACAGTTCTTTCAAGGCCATTTTCAAAACGCCTTCAAAACGTACTGCGCAGGAAACTGATTTTTGCATGTTTCTTCGTTTTATTACCTTCCTCCATTATTTTTCCAGTTTATCAGATTTTTCATTTACAATGTATGTATGTATGTATGTATGTATGTATGTATGTATGTATGTATGTATGTATGTATGTATGTATGTATGTATGTATGTATGTATGTTATGTATGTATGTATGTATGTATGTATGTGGAAGGGTGGGTGTACGTATGTATGTATGTATGTATGTATGTATGTATGTATGTATGTATGTATGTATGTATGTATTATGCATGTATGTATGTATGTATGTATGTATGTATGTATGTATGTATGTGGAAGGGTGGGTGTACGTATGTATGTATGTATGTATGTATGTATGTATGTATGTATGTATGTGTATGCATGTATGTATGTATGTATGTATGTATGTATGTATGTATGTATGTATGTATGTATGTATGTATGTATGTATGTATGAGGAAGGGTGGATATACGTAGGTATGTACGTATGTATGTATGTATGTATGTACACTGCAACATATCTGTTTCTTTAATATTCGTTGTTTCTGTCTTTATTTCTTTATCGGTTTGGGTCGATTGCTATTTGCTATGACTATACAAGTCTGCGTTCATGTATCACCAAGTTTCGAAGCTAAATATACGTATCTTAACAAAAATAACAATAAAATGAAAATGATGAAGACGTGTTGATAGCTCATACTCGTATCATAACAAAGCTCTGAACGTCTCATCACTACTCAATATACGCGAACATCACAAGATTGGGTGTATGTATTTATCAGGTATCCAAGATCATTGTCACGTTTTTCGGGTTCCAATATATTATCAAACCACTTTGTTATTAGTATTAGATTCCGTCGAAGATTTTTTTTTATATTTTGTTCTTTTTTGGATTATGTTATTTTTTTGTGGTTTTGTTTTCGTTTCCTTTTTTTTTTGTTTGCGTTTTTTTGCGTTATTTTGATTTTGGTTTTTCATTGTTTTGTTCAATAGGTTTTATCGCTAAAAAGGTTGACTCTTGATTAATATATAAGGCAATATGCCTCGTTACATTTCTGTAGACATGATTCAGAAATCTATAATGTAATAAAATGCTAAAGCAAGGGATTGAGTTTGTTGACTATGAAAGCATACCATACTGACGTGATACCTTGCTATTTTCATTATTTCAAACCTCAGTAGAATGGCAATTGTAACACTTTCGGATTCTTGCAGCCTGTAATTCACATTGGGTTACAGTGTAGCTGTGAATTACTGCTTCCATAAAGCACACATTCCTGTCTGAATATTTCGCTGGTTTCAAAGCACAATGAAAACATTCAACTACATTACTTGTGGAAATTTAATCCATATCTAAAGAATATTCTTAAGTAGGATTTCGGGTGATGACATGAAAGTGAGCGGCGGATCAGCAATGGTTTTTGGGCAACCTCTGTTTCATGCAACAAACATCAAGTCATGCAATGGTTTAAAACCTATCTGTGATTAAATAATATGTAAATTAATAATGAAATTAATGTTGATACCAAGGAAGGATATTTCTAATAATTATCCATTGTGTAACGCTCGTGTTAGTTGGATGAAAATTATCGAACGGTCGTCATAGTGATCTAATTGCCAGTTATTCAAATTCTTTGTGAGCTATGAAATTGGACGTGTTTGATGATTCTTGGCTTCACCAAGGTCTACATTCTTGGTGACGTCAATGAAGCAGAAGACGCTTACTCTTCAGGAACACCTGGTACTATTCCCATATATTTTTTCAGGAGTCTCCGTGCAAATCTGTTTTGTATGCACTTATTTTTACCGAGTTTGTTTTATGAATTTTGAGTTAGAATTATGACCATGTTCTCATGTTGGTACTTTCTTGTTTTTATTAAGCCTTTTGTTTGGGCGATGTGATGGTCCATTTCATTTGTACATATGTAACATCAGTGTTTATCATGATCATCGGATATAACCATTATGTAATATCAAATAAAATAAATATTGACAATTGATGTAAAAATGGCTTGTTGTCTGTATTAGTGATAGTAGCATTTATTCCAACTGTGATAATTTCGGGTTCTTGCTGTCATTCATAAGACTCTACTCACGTAAATATAGCTTCGTTATCATTAAAAACAATTCTCGAGTTTAGAAGAGTTCAGACCGACAGCTTGCATTTCACTTGCTTTAAGGTCCCTTTTAAAATATAATCTTTCGTTAAACCTGGGCCTCTATTGGTTAGAGAAAATACTTGCCCATGTATTTGATTTCTCTATTTCCCGGAGTATAGCTTCGTTAAGCTAATCGTTAATCAACCATCTGTATTGTCCATATGGATTTTTTTTTACTTAAATCTGGGTGATTTGAATGAACGTGCATTTTAGTATTTTACCTTTAGTCTAGTTATGTTAAATGGATACATTTTGTTTTAAATGAATCATTGTAGCAATAAAGAATATTAAATAACAATGGTCAAATGAATAAAGTTTAGTTTGAATACACAAAGGTATGTTACCTGAAGAGGTGAACACAAGTGTCATGTATAATAATAGGTATACATTGTATGTATAATGATAAATCTTTGAATAGGAAAAATAGATGTACAGGTGTTCTGGCTTAGAATGTGATATTGTTTGGATATGGATGTCGTTATTGTATTACAGACTAAATCAATAACTATACTGAAGCATTATTATAACTGATTCAGCTTCGAAACAAGAACACTGATCTCAAGATCGATACAAACAACAAGCTTGTTGAACTGAATGAGGTGTTATATTGTAAAGGTAGGTAACATCAGTTCACGCCAGAGTCAAGTAGAAAAGGAGACACATTTGAAGCATTTAAAAGTTTGTAAATTGAGCATAAGCTTCTCAGAAACACGTGCATTTCGTTCATCACCTGATCGAATATTTTTTAAAGAAATCATGTAAACATTAAATAACATTTATTATTATAAAATATATTTCGTTTGATTAATGTTTTCCATGGAAATCAATATTTTGTCGTTTTCAGTGTAGGCCCCACTGGCACGCGAGATGATAGAAGGAGTTATGTTATCGGGAATCGTGCGGCCTCAGGCAGGTTGGGGTAAGTGTTGCTGAAATTGGATACGAGGTAGTGGCGGAAACGTGTGCAAACATATACATAGTCTGCGTGTGTGTAGCACGTTCACAGCTAGATGTAGTACATGTCGACAGACCTATGGCATTTCAGTTTGGTAAGCTCGCAATAGGAGGATAAACAGTGCTGTAACTAGTTTACACAACACGAATCACGGCTTTATTTGCATAGGCCATAATGGAGCACCCGAACTGTTGCCTTCCTACATCATGCTTCGTACCGATGATCTTTAGAACGGTCAGAGTGGAAAGAACTGCTTCATGCACTTCCGGGGGTCAAGTACGAGCACGTGATGGAGAACGGATGTAAAGAATGTGTAACAGTTACTGACACACTTGTAATTAGCCACACTATTGGAGAAGATGACGTATATTTCGTTTAAGTCTTCTGACAGGAAGCACTATGCTAGTCCAGGCAGCAAGTGATTTGGATTCAGTTCCAGGGGGTATGACTCTATTGTAACGAAATGTACATTGTATTGTATGTAAAATTCTAATGATTTCAGTGTTTTCTACATAAATCATTATCATATGTAACCAGGCTACTGAAACCCAGAATCTAAGTAGAAAAAACATTGTGATTTGATCGCAATATACTCTGTTTGTTTTCTTCTCTACACTCTGGGAAGAGGGAGTTGTCTTAACAGATAGGTAATTAGTAATCAGTGTTTCCATAGTAACAAATACTTTATTGTATCACTTACAAAACTAGAATGATAGCAATTAAATATCTAAGTTATGGTTACGATGGTAATAGAAACTATGAATAGACGTCTTAACAAAGCGTGTCATGGTACTATACTTTATTGTTTCACTATTTTTCACTCTGATTGCTTACTGCCAGCATTTGATAAAAAGATCTGAAAACGATTTCCTTTATAACATTATATCATATTTATACTTAATAGATGTCAATTGAATATAAATGGTATGTATGGAATGACTTGTCTGGAGATAAACTGCTAATATGCTATAAATTTTCAAACAAAGAAAATTGAATGTAAGCAGGAAGGCGTTAAGCCTGACCACAGACAGGCTATTATAAATCTATAATAGCCTGCGGGAATCGTGCATGTATGCATAATTCATTATTTGTCTCTTTTATACCAAATTCTAAAATTACATCGGAAGCTGTTATTGTGTATTTTCAGTACAATAAAGACAACCTCTCAGAATAAAAAGGTTATCCAATCACCTTGGCCAGGTCGCAGTTTTTAAATTTCGGAAATTTTGAAATCACACTTTTATGATCTAGAACTTAGAATTGAGATTTTGTACATGGGTAAAGCATTGAAACAGTCAGCAAAGATATAGAGCTTAGCGTTAGGATCTTGTGCATAGGTGAAACACTGAAACAGTCAGCAAATATATAGAACTAAGAGTTAAGATGTTGTGTATGGGTAAATCACTGAAACAGTCATCAAATTTAAAGAAAACTGCTTACAAGGCGAATTTATTGCAAAAATAAAAAAAAACCCGGACATGTCACAATTCAGCTCACTAACACAACAGTAGAAGTGAAGCACAAGATCTTGTCAGCAAGAGTGGTTTGTTATTTTATTTTAATTCTTTAGGCAAAGGAGCATTATCTGATATAACTTTTGAGTCTTAAATTTATGCTAAAATGAAAGCATTAATAGGCGAGTTACATGCAGTATGTAAGATTACAGATGATATATTAAGCATGAGAGGTGTATATCTGGACGGACCTGTAGATATATATATACAACAAATTCTCGAGTGAAATTAACGTTGAAAACCCATAGAATTCTGACAACAGAGTAGAGTATCGTGGGTTTCCAACGATGGAGTGAAACATCAAAAGCCAGTCTTGTATATTTGGACTTTATAATCCCCAAGACCTATAAGTCATTTTATGGATAATACTTTGATTTATTAGTCCCTGTTCGGTTGGCCATATTTGTCGTAGGCAATATTAGTCACCGATTAGATACTCGTTGACCATCTTATCACTGGCTGTCAAGGGGAGGACCTATTGCTTGCCTTAGAAGCTTGTACACTATCCGTTTCTTCTGCTTTATAAAAGTAATTGGTTATATTCCAGCTGTTATCCTGGTTGTGTATATTCATAATCGCTTTATTATGGTGTGCAGTTGCTGCAATCAATTTCCTCGCTAAAAATTACTAATGTGTCAGATATATAACATAGTTATGCTTCTATGTGATCTGAAATGTCAATATTGAAATACCTTGCAGCGAAGACGTTAATTAAGCCATATCTTTTTTGTCTGATTTGTGTTGATTTCTTGATGACAGTTTTCGGTCTCGCTTCATTGAATACGTTAGTGTGCATTTGGTTATTAGTAGAAAAAGATATACATTGTATATTGCTCTCTGAAAAGGGCCTTCTGCGTCCATCGCCCTGTTTATCGGAACACTTTAGAATGGAGGTGACAGTTTGTCTCTGTTTTATGTTCTATATAGGTGATGTCTTGATAAAGGGACAGATTGCCTCTAAAATTTGACAACTCGGTTGCTATTGCTTCATTGATCATATATCTATTCCAGTATTACACATCCAACGAACAGTCATGTTAGAATCAAGTACCAATATTTGACCATACCGTCGATGCTACTTACTTGATAATATATATATATATACATATTTATCATCATCTTGCATCGCTCATGTATAAACATGTCATTTAGATAACTGTGTATAGTACCATGTCAGGATAGGAGAAGCGTATATAACGGTGACTTTATATAGTCATGTGTACATCTGGAGTAGACTTCTGACCTATACCTATACCTTTCTTAAGACAAGATGACACATACATATCTAGTGCTTTCGTTATCTGTTACAGCTTTACCTGTCCAACTTGGAAGTGACACTCGGGACAAATAACATATCTCTACTGAATGTCCTCTTTACCGGCTTACTGGACAAAATATGTCTTTATTGGTGTGATGGCTACCGGATGCAAAAACGAAATAAAGAAAAACTTCACAGATCTTAGGATGTAGAATCAGACTGGAAGGGTTCGATGGGAATATAACACGTGTATTGATATTGGTTAGTTACGTGTGACAGGTGACTCTTCCCATGGCACGTTTCGGACATACAGAGCCATATGACTCCGTCTTCCACCTGTGTCAAAGAGGAGGAGTTACAACAGCTAGTTTGTTGATGATACCTTCCGATTGGACTGAGAATATAGACGTAAGTATGTAAACCCCTGCACACATATATGCACCACTTGAGATAATGTATATTTCATTGAAACTCACGGGACGTATACAGGTAAAGAAAATTGATAACGTTTTATATGTATTCGTTTCCATATACAGCTTAAGTAATAGGAGATTATACGGGCAGCAGTGGTAATACTCTCTTATATAATTTGTAAATTAGAATATTATGATTTACAGTTTTGTATAAAGCGAATAGATTAAGCTTATACATTGTACAACATGTCTCGTAAGTTCGGATGATTGTGTGTGGGTAGTGAATATGTGTAATGAATGGTAATGAATTAATTAAATAGTGAATATATGAATGATTGCAAAAATGAGGAAATAGGACGGGGAGAAAAGCTTAGATATAATAAACATAATTAAATTATTGGTGTTTCTGTGTAAAATATGTTTCGTTTTTGTCATACTGTTCATTAGGTTAAGTTTAACTTGTATCAGTTGTAGCACAATAGGCAGTCAAGTTTATAACATATATGGGTATATTTCTGTTGGTAAGTATCTAATTAAAAAAAACCGTGTCTGGTCATTTTCGTATGTGAAATAAGGGGAGGGATAAAAGCGGGGAAGGAGAGGTGTGTAAACAACATTTGAGAATAGAAACTCGATCGTTCTGCAAGGATAAATACATGTAATGCATACTGTTTAACACAGGATAAAAATACACTGTACTGTTTATAAAAAGGCCCAGCTCAGTGGGATAAGGGCTGTATGTGCATAATAGCAAGTACACATGGACTACGGCTTTGTAATATATTGTTCAAATAGGGCACATGAATACTTTCCGGTGACAACCATACCTTCACATTGACAACTTGAACGGTGTAGGGATGTAGTCAACGTCAAGAATAATTAGTACGTATGTGTATGTTGTATACAAATGTGGTAGGTACGTGTGGAGTATATGTGGTACGCTGAATACTGTGATCGTCCGGTTGTTTTACCTGTCAATGGGTTATGGTAGTTTATGGAGTACACAGGAAGAATGCCCGCGTGTAATTTTATAACATATGTGTTGCTATCTGATTTATCGAAGTCCAAAAATAAAATATTTCGAACCGGTTTTAGCGGTTGAAGGTTGTCGTAAGTGGCTAAACGTTTAGCTATATTTTGCTGTTACAGGTACACAGTGTACTGTAAACGATCTCGCCCACTGCATGTATTGTTATCACTAAGAACTCATTCATCCGGAACTTCCTTTCGGTTTAGGGCTCACGCGTGTTTGTGCTTGGCTCGGATATAAACATTGTGGGTATTCGGACATATTCTGTGTGATTTCTGTTTCCATCTGATGTCTATATTCTTCCCAGTATGAGATTACGGACACGGTACGTAATCTCCTGTGTTGGGATTTTGTTCCTTGTGTGTACTTATGAAGTGTATTTCAACTCCGGGAGCGCTAGGGATCTCATACGCTCCGTCTCAGGGGAGCAATTTCAACACGACGATGGAAACTTTCTACACGGGGGGAGAGGCATCCGTCGAAGAGTAAAGGTTAGAAGAGAGGATACTGTTCAGTTTGTGTCAGATCGTCCCCGACCTCCTCTGTCTCTTAACAGCAGCAGTCAGGGGGTCGTGATGATTACAGCAGACGAATATAGAAAAAACAAAGACTTAAAATCGGGTAATCCTTTAATAGACAACTATGGATTGAATGACCTACATCGTACAGGAGAAATGGGCCGAGGGGTTACGTTTGTAGGCACAGAAAAGAAAAAAGTGGCTGAAGTGATTGAGAAGTACCACCTCAATGTGATAGCTAGTGACTTGATTCCACTGAACAGGATGGTACCGGATTCTAGACTGACGAGGTGAGTAAACGTGATACTTTAATTTCCTATGTCCTACGTATACGATATACAATTATTAGTTACCCTCTCTGTCACTCAAAAACTTATTTTTTTCATAATTTTGGATTAGTTGAACCAACTACTCGATCAAACCTGTCTCTATACCTCTGCTCCTTGTCACATGACGAAATCGGAGGCTGTCCACGGTCATTTTTGTGATGATACAAATGTATTAGCTGACTTAGTGAAACTAGAAGAATGGTCGCACTGTGATCTCTCTGATACAGATAAAACATCTTACATGGAAGGACAGAGTTAACTTTGGATGCCTTTGGCTTCAATTCAGCTTAATTGTAGCGAACAGTCAACTATCTAGTTTACATATGTATAACTTATAAAAAAATCGATCACCACGATTTGTCCTTCTTGTCGACGAGTTTATTGCAGTGGAACCATTAAATTCCGGATATTTTTTACCTTTAGAAAACATATGTACTGTATCTTCTCGAAATATCTTGCAAAATGAACAAAATGCCTTTAACAAACATGAGTATAAATGCGTAACTAGTTACTGCCATAGGAATTATTTACCATGGAAATTATTTTTTAAAAAAGTATTACAATAAAGTAAATTGTATAATTCATAAAAGGTCTTCACAAATTCAATATGAACATCAAAAAAGTTACAATGAATGCGTTATATGCATGGAAGTGGTTTTAGGAGGATATTAGTTAGTTTAAAGTACGGAATAAATAAATTAAAAAGACATCTGCCACCAAACCATTCAAGAAAGGAATGGCCTCTATAAAACATTATGAGCCCCATCAATTTTTTCAAATATGCAAGATCTTTGAAAAAAGTACAGGGAAATTAGACCAGGTGTTCCGGAAATGTAATCGTCTTCTGCTTCAAAGACAACACCAGCCATATAAACTTTCGTTAATCCAACTAATCAATAGCTCTTTCGGAAATGAAAATAAAATTTACAATAACCAAACACTACTTTAAATAACAACTACTCTTCACGTGAGAATGGTTACAACAAATTAAGAGAAAATGGAAAGATTTAATTAACAACAATGGAGAAATCCTGCCAAGCTTTCTGCTAGATCAAGTACTGCAATATTTGTTGACGCATTTATGATAAATATAAATGACAACACTTTGCCTGCAAAATTCATTGCACACTGTCCTAAAAGATGTGTTTGCATGCAAGACTGTGTTATTTAATTCGACCATGAATGCCATAACAAAGCCGTTCAATATCTATATATACATTCCATACACATGTCGCTGAAACTAAACTAAATTATTCATAATCGACAGTTTAATCTGTAACGTGGAACAGCCGTTTAGAGGTGAACTGTTGTCGTGAATGGTCACGAGCAGTATGTCAATTATCGCATTACATAAATCACATTTCTTTTTGGCTAGTTTACATAGGGATGTTGTAGAGTAAAACGTAAACATCACGAATTTTTTTCATGATTTAACAGCACGGAAACATGACAAAAGTGTGAAAATACAAAAAGTCTTCCAATATCCGCGGTAGCCTTAATTTGAAGCTTAAAACATATGTCCGCGAGCCAAGTGTGGTGAATCACGACAACAGGTTTTTGAAATCCACTTACTGAAACGTCATTAACAGATTAATAATTTTGATGGTTTCTATTTAACAGCAAATTGCATCTCTGATCTCTCATGAAAGACAATATATTACGGATACTTACACCGTGCCTTTCAGATATAGATAATTTGAAACCTGCTCAATATGATTGTATTTTTATGTTTGCGACACTCTTGTACTGCCCTTAACAACACGTTATACTGTATACATGGTACATTGGCATCCAAGTTTAAAACCCTTCGCGTCACAGGACGAAAAAACTGTGTGACGCATTTACACGACTAAGATTTACTATATCTAACTCTCAATTTGTCTTGAAAAATGTTACACCTTTTTATGTCTTCTGTACAATCACAAAAATGATATATCATATTACGTATTTGGTTTCTTAAAATACAATTCATTGGTTAAAAACATTATGAGGTCTTTAATTAATTAGAACATACAAACTACAGCATATTAAGTCTCTCAAAATGGTGTAGATATGTACAGATGTAATGCAATATATTGAATAAAAAGTGGACAGCTCAGGGCTGAAACATTTCAGAGATCAATGCTCAAGAATTTGATTGCAAAATTGTTGTAATAACTATACATTGTCGTATCAATGTCGGACGATTTTTGAAATATTTATTCACTTTTATTTCTTTTTAGAAGCATGTACATATTCATTCCCTTGTTTTTTTGTACTTAATCTCAGCTGTACTTCATAATAATGAATTGTTTATTATTAAAAAAAATAGTGGAAACGATCAACTTTCCAAAACGTCTAGTTCTGTATATTGTGTTCTGTATTGTTTTTAAGCAATTTGATGTTTTGTAAAAGTAACTAATCGTTTGTTTACGTTCTCAAACATCCTATTTTATGAACAAATTAAAAATTGTTGATAGATGCAACTGTATGTTGATTCTATTAAAGACACGTTAGTGCAGAAACTAGTTTCACACTGATCTTCCAAGATCACATCCAGATCTTTGTCCGTTGATTGATGGCAGGTATAATCCTTTGTCATTTGAGATGACAATTAATATCTGTACTCATGAGAATGGAAATTATTATCCTCAGTGGCGGTCAAACTACATACACAAAGATAATCTTTCAAACTGAGTGATTTATCACCGGAATAATTTTATTCTGAAACGTCAAAACATTTGTACATAATTTTAATCTTAAATCCGTGCATTTTGCTGATTAACATACTGCATATTATAATTGTTAGATTTTCAATATTCATTACCAGACTATGTGGTCAATGGTTATATATGTATAGATAATCAAATCAGTTGCCTCATGTTTTTATTCTTTTGAACAAGCCAGATGTAATTACAGTTACTACTCATCAACGAAGAAAACACTATGGGGAAGCACGTGTCTTGTACCTCGATGTGTTATGGACAAAATCAAAAATTCATCAAATTAAAATCAAAATTCAAAACCTAATTAAAACTGTCCAAATAACAAAGCATTATTTTTGCTGACAGTCAACATAGACTGCGTTCTTACATTGGGAAAGCTTTTGTTATTTATCTCCACTGTATAACGGCGGTGGTAGGAGGCTTGGATTGGATTACGTGATAGCAACGTTTCCATTGGTTTAGCCGTCTTGAAAGTCAACGATTGTACAAAAGACACACAAGTGAATAGCACATTTTAAGTCTATGCCAACAGATGACCAACCGTTGATTGGAAGAAGGCGTTGCATATATTTTATTTTGAATTTTTTTTATTCAAAACACTTACACTGCAATATTCTTAAATGAAATTTTTATACAATTATAATATAACTTTTCCATGAAAATAGATTTTTCGATGAAAGCCATCAAACTTCAGCGGGAAAGATCTTTAAATCTTAATTTGATCACGCCCTTTTCTGACGTCCATAACATTTGCAATATGTTTGTCTCGCGCATGCTATCATTTTTTTTGCATTGACCTTTGGTAATGTCTGTGGCGCGCTCACACTACACTTAGACTGGCTGGAGGCACATCCATTGTTCGGGAAGGCTTTGGTTTGCCGTATGTCAAACTTTCCCGAATTAAGTCAGGAATGATGGCAATAAGGAAAATGCAATGTTCAAAATTATTTAAGGTCTTTTCATTTATTGATTTTAAATTATGTAATGGGTCTTTAGAATTCCTACGTCAAATTGTCTTTCTTTATTCTTTCTATTGTTTATCAAACAAAAGATGGAAATAAGTTTATAACGAAATTTTAATAAGTTCTGCGTGCCAGGAAACATGACTACAGACATTGGCACTTCTGACAAATTGAGTCATTGAACTTGCCTAGTCATTTTATGAATATTAACGAGTAGCTCTGGTCCATTTAATGGATTCTTACACCGGCAAATGACTAGCAGATTTAGACTTTCTTTCCATTCAGAACATCGTTAGACTTTATTAAACACACGTCTGTATTCAGACAATTTCTTCTGCCGTAAATGTTGCAATAGGTAACATGTATGTTCTTGTTTTACACAGTTACGTTAATGCTGTATTATAAAGTGCTTGCAAATCGTATCATGAAGATGTCTGTTTGATACTGCCTAGACTATGCTGCTGTGTTGATCCTATTGTCCCTGTGAATGACATCATTTGCTTTTAATTCCTGTTTATTGCTGGGGATCTGTACACAACATTAACTAATCCTGAAGCATCTCCAGGGTTATGAGTCCTGGAGATTATATTAGAAAGTTGATTTATACCTCCATCGTGACTTTTGTTTTTTGGTTGTATTTAGTCGGTCGGAAGATTACATATTTTGTTTTGTTCCCGTGACGTTACCTACACATTGTCTTACCGACGAACATCGTGTAGCATCTACATTAGTTTGTATGTTAAATTTCGATATTCGAAATTATGTTGTCATTCTTTTTTTCAAATAAATATAAACTGTATGTATTGTGCGTTCTTCATGAATTGAGAGGACCTACGTGGAATATATTTTGTTATAAGAAATCTTAAGATCATGACAATGTTTGGTGACCTTGCCTAACTTCCTGTATTCTTGGTATACAACATATATGTACATGTACGTATTTGTGTATTAGTAAATTCGTGCTCATGTACAAGTTTTTAAGAGGAAAGATTTTTGCCGATCGTTGAACAGGTGCACAATAACTTCGATTAACATCATCGAGAGAGACAAGATCTAAAATGAATTTCAGGACCACGCGGTTGTTACAGAATCATGTAAGTGTAATGTCTGATATGCCAAGTGTCCAAGATTTGAAGTGTCTGATATTGATATTTATGTCGACTTCTACTGCTACCGTAGTGGGAGCTCACATACACACAGTATTCTGTCGTCTGAAAAACGTAAAAATCCCAATCAAACCGGGATTGGTGATCACCGAACATGCAACACGTTTGTCTACACGTTCCGGGTGTCCTAATCCGATTGAGTAAGATACAAAAATATCGCGTGCGTTAGCAGTTGGTGTTCAAGAACGTGTAAATCAAGTTTAATGTACGCACTGAAAACAATAACCGTTTATTTTCATCAGTATGTTTAATGATGATTTTGATCACGCTAGCAACGATCAAGACCTTAACGGTAATTATAAACGATACATATAGCTGAAGATATCAGTGTTATATTAGCATAACATATAAATAAAAACCATTCTCTGACGCTAGATTACCGAGAGCTGTTTAACTGGTTCGTTCTTTCATTTGAGCTGGTAACCAGTCAATCAGGATAGGATTTTTTCTCTCTTCCTGTACTATAGATGATAAATTAACGTTTTCTTATCATCCCTGAATCTGTTTCGGATAAAACATGGAAAGGTGTTGCCAGTCTAGCTGGTATTATTCAATACCCCTTCACGTGTCCCTCTTATCTGATCAAAAATTAAGACAAATGTCACGTAGCAAATCACGTAGAGAATCGAGAATACCTGTATTTACGAACCACTTAAAGATTAACACGATTCTAAAGCGTCGGTAAGGTAACCAACTGGGCGCTAAGCACTGTTGTTTACACGATGGTCGGGCTCAGTATTTGGTATCACAGATGCTTGCGCTTGTGACTAGACAATTTATGAGAAAATGCGATAATTCGTACAATAAATCAACCTTCCTTCTTAAAGATAATGATGTACAACATTCTGCATGATGGATAATATAGGCACCAGATGTGGTCAATTTTCACTTAAAAAAAATGTGCATGTTTCTGATGGCATTCCATAGATATAATCGAGATGACAGTCCGACTAATTAATCCATCAAGATATGGCATACAATCAGGCAAGTGACTACAATATAATTCATACATAAGATAAATGATAACCTGAACGCGAAATACTTGGAAGAAATAGAAATATTCTTCATTCTTGTTTTAAATGAACGATTAATGTGGCTTATTCGAGTATAATCTAGCAGTTTAAGTGAGTGCGGGATGTAAATCACCCAAACATACCACTAGATTAAAACGTTCACCTTAAGGCTGCAGAAAACATCACAACAGGATGTTAACATTAAGGATGCACACACCATCACAACAGGATGTATACATTAAGGCTGCACATCCCTGGATAATCATTACAATAAATATTTGATATTAAATGATTTATAAACGAAGTTATGGTGTTCATGTACATCAGAAAAGCAATGCATCATGACTTTTAAAGGTATACTACATAAGGGCCAGCCATAAGCACTGAAATGAAGTTTGCTCCAACGGTATTCTAACGGATCATAGGAGGGGATCTCCTTTCAATGGTAGCAAAAATCTGGCAACGCCGGCGAAGCCGTGCGTCGCGAGCGCCGGCGGCGCGAGGCTTTGGCGAGGGGTATTGGGGACCTCCCCCAGAAAATTTTGAAAATTTTGGCTCCATTTCCTGCATTTTGAGCGTATTTTGAAGGAAAATAACGACACAATAATACTGGGATAAGTCGATATGATGTATTGAAATAAATCAAAGTTAGAAAAGATACAAATGGAAACAAAATAATGTCGGACTACATGTACATAACAATCAATTAGAAATATCAGTAAATGACAACATACATAAACATCAAAAATCAGCTAACGGGAAAGTGAGAGTTCTGATTCTGTTACCTGAGCTGAGTGTAGTTTGTGTGGTGTTAGTTTCGACAGAATGCAAGTAGAATCGATAAAATCACTGAAATAGATATGAAAAATACAGATAAAGAAAACTGAAAAATGGGACCCCCCCTAAAAAACTCAACGGATTTACACGTTTCACAAAAGTCACCTCTGGGACAATTGGGGGGTTGCCTCCCCCCCCTTGCCTCCCCTCCCCCCTTGCCTACGCCAGTGTAGCTTGGCATTTTGCATTTTCATGTATCCACATAGCTTGCTGAGCAGGCTCACCAGCGAAATGCACCAAATATCCCCTTTCCCGTGTTTTCTTACTCTTTGAGCCAATAGCTTTAGACGAGAACGTGGAATTGTCTTCGGGATAGTTGTCTCACTTGCAGATGTTGTGCTAACAGACATCTGCCCTTCGGTGTCATCGGTGGATTTATCTAACACCTTATTGAAATTATTGTCCATGGTATCATCAGATGAGACTTCCGTACAACTGCAATCTTGAGATGATCCATGTGGGTGTCATCTTTGATCTGTCAATTATCAGGGCTCCGAAGAGTTACGAGGTGAGGACTGTCCACAATAGCGAGGTTTAAATTTGACTCCATCCCACTTTGCTTCTAAAAGGAGATAGACATAGTCAGCCACCCTGGCAGAGAGCGGATGGACTGTTTCGTTGACACGTTCCAACATTTTCATTTTTGACTGTATAACACATTTACTCATGTCATGACGTATACTGTGTAAACGATTGGCAAAAATTCTGACATATTGGTGACAAACTGCAGGTATTCCACTAAAATTTGTTGTTTTAATATAAAAATAATGCAAGGAAAAAACATAGTGTAAATGACTGGACCTTGGAATTACAAGCAAAAACCAGTAAACTATTCTCCGTCCAATCCAGAAGCAAGTTTAGAACGTAAGGCTCGAAGTCATTTAAGAATCATTCTGTATCCTCACTGGAAAATCCTTAGAATGAATGTATGCTTTCAATATCTTAGAATCAGAATGTGACGTCGCCTCATTAGCATCTAAAATACCTGTACATGTCATTGTATCAGAGTTAACAGTAGCTTGCAGGGTTGAAGGCGGTGGACTGTATAATTGCGAGTGTATGTATCTCATTGTTTTTCAAGTAAGACTCAGAAAAATGACACCGGCCTCATCATCAAACATCTTCTATATTCTCATTATTACATAACAATCAATGTAATTCCAATCAGTGTTTTCCACTAATGACGAAATCAGTATGTACACACAAGATTATCCAAAAAATGGTAATTACCATCCAATTCCTTATTTCCACGTAACATCGAAGGGAAATGAAAAAACTGCAGGGCGAGATTTCATCAAGCCTTATGTTTTCAAGTAGTTAGCTACTGAAACATCACGAATTCTCTGTCTCATCTGCCAACGATCCCTCGATACTGATCACATCCATCTGACTGGAAGACTGCAGATATTGCCCCTGTGTACAAAAAAAAAGGCTTAAAATACACAGCGCAGAAAATTACCGTCCAATATCCCTCACTTGTATCTGTTGCAAATTACCAGATCATATCATTGTCAGTAGCATCATGAAACATGTTGATACTCATCAGATCCTTTACCGTCTTCAGCATTGCTTCAGGCAATCCAGGCCATGTGAGAGTCAGCTACATTAATTCATTGATGACATCTCGAGTAACATGGAACTAGGTAAGCAATGTTCTTATCATGGACTGCAGTAAGGCATTTGATAAGATCGACCACCAACTTTTAATCCATAAACATAGGAACTATGGCATAGTTGGGAAAGTAAACGGCTGGATTGAAAACTTCCGAAGTAACAGGGCTCTATCAGTAATAGTATGGGAAAAATCAACACTGTCCCAGTAGGATCAGGTGTCCCCTATGGCTCATCCCTCGGGTCGAGCCTTTTTCTCTTTTACATCAATGACATTACCGAGGGCATTTCATCATCCATTAGACTCTTTGCAGATGATACCAATATGTATCTAGTAGTTACATCAGAGCGAGATGCACAATCTCTGCAAAGTGGCCTTGTCAGACTCGGTAATGCGGAGAGAAAGTTGAAGATGGAGTTCCATCCAGACAAATGTCATCTCCATCACCAGAAATAGAAATCTCATTGTCCACCCATACAGGTTTCATAGACACGAATTCCAAGATGTGTCTGGGGCCAAATACCTGGGTGTTACCATCAGATCGGACAAGGAATGGGCGTCCCACCATCCATGTTAACAACATCACAAGGAAGGCAATAACACATTGAGCTTTCTCAGACGAAATCTTCTGATTTCCTCTTCTAAAATAAAAAAAGAATCAAGGATCAATGCATGACGCCATGATTATGATCGTTACAAAATAAACAAATGGAACTTGAAGCAAACCCCGCTAGGGTGTGTCTGTTCACTGATACTATGATGGTTAGTTGCGTGTGATATGGTATAGACGTCTGGTGTATTATTTCCAACTTATTACGTGACATGTTTTCCAGGTTTGCTACATATTCAGACTGGTTTCAATATGGTAACACAATAAGAGAGGTATATGTTGGACATATATGACCTACTGTTTTACAACTGTCAATTCAACATTGTTAAAGTATATATATATATATTCTCTAACGGTCACACGTGGTTTGTTTGCAGTTGTGCGTCCAGGACTTACGAACATGACCTCCCGACCACAAGCGTGATCGTACCGTTCTTTGACGAATGGCCGTCCATCCTGCTCCGTACGGTGTACAGCATCGTCAACAGAACGCCGCGCCATCTTCTACAGGAAGTTATCCTCGTGGACGACGGAAGTGAGATGGGTAAGTGACAGAGTGTAACACGACTAAACTGTCACGGTGTAACACGTAAAATCCAGACGTTCTTTTAATATTAAGCCACATAAAATATACAAACTGCTTTGCATATGAAATTTTACAAATCGTAACACTTATTCAACGGAAGGTTTTATAAGGTGTTGACGGTTCTCCGGACAGTAAAATTCTAATAAACTTTTTCTTCAACTCACTTTGATTACAAAACATTGCAATTCGCAGATGAAATGTAGTAAAAAAAAGGAGACCCCTCGCATCAACAGATCAAACACAGAACAATGTTTGTCTAGTATCTGCATACATTGTAACTAATCGTATGTTGACGGAGTTGATAAATGGTTCATTTCCTTCAGATCTTGATGAAGAATGTCGCGTTTACACCTGTAACCTAAGTTCACTGACCTGAAAGAACCTCTACATGTAACACCAGGGACGTACACACAGTGTACATGTCATGCATGGCCTTGTCGTTATCAATCACTGTTCATGCCAAAGCTAAAGATGAATGCTGTGTTTCATATACACAACAAACACAGGCCTAACATACAACAAACACAGGTCTAACACACAACAAACACTCGTCCAGCACAAAAAATAAACACAGGTCTAACACACAACAAACACAGGTCTAACACACAACAAACACAGGTCTAACACACAACAAACACAGGTCTAACACACAACAAACACAGGTCTAACACACAACAAACACTCGTCCAGCACAAAAAATAAACACAGGTCTGACACACAACAAACACAGGTCTAACACACAACAAACACAGGTCTAACACGCAACAACCACAGGTCTAACACAGGTCTAACACACAACAAACACAGGTCTAACACACAACAAACACTCGTCCAGCACAAAAAATAAACACAGGTCTAACACACAACAAACACAGGTCTAACACACAACAAACACAGGTCTAACACACAACAAACACTCGTCCAGCACAAAAAATAAACACAGGTCTAACACACAACAAACACAGGTCTAACATACAACAAACACAGGTCTAACACACAACAAACACAGGTCTAACACACAACAAACACAGGTCTAACACACAACAAACAGTCGTCCAGCACAAAAAATAAACACAGGTCTAACACACAACAAACACAGGTCTAACATACAACAAACACATGTCTAACACACAACAAACACAGGTCTAACATACCATAAACACAGGTCTAACATACCATAAACACAGGTCTAACATACAACAAGCACAGGTCTAACACACAACAAACACAGATCTAACATACCATAAACACAGGTCTAACACACAACAAACACAGGTCTAACATACAACAAACACAGGTCTAACACACAACAAACACAGGTCTAACACACAACAAACACAGGTCTGACATACAATAACACAGGTCTAACACACAATAACACAGGTCAAACACACAATAAACACAGGTCTAACACACAACAAACACGTGTCTGACATACAACAAACACAGGTCTAACATACAACAAACACAGGTCTAACACACAACAAACACAGGTCTGACATACAATAACACAGGTCTAACACACAACAAACACAGGTCTAACACACAACAAACACAGGTCTAACATACAACAAACACAGGTCTAACATACAACAAACACAGGTCTGACACACAACAAACGCAGGTCTGACATACAACAAACACAGGTGGAACACAGCAAACACAGGTCTAACACACAACAAACACAGGTCTGATATACAATAAACACAGGTCTAACACACAACAAACATAGGTCTAACATACAACAAACACAGGTCTAACACACAACAAACACATGTCTAACACACAACAAACACAGGTCTAACACAACAAACATGTGTCTGACATACAACAAACACGTGTCTGACATATAACAAATACAGGTCTAACACACATCAAACACGTGTCTTACATACAACAAGCACAGGTGGAACACAGCAAACACAGGTCTAACACACAACAAACACAGGTCTGACATACAATAAACACAGGTCTAACACACAACAAACACATGTCTAACACACAACAAACACATGTCTGACATACAACAAACACATGTCTAACACACAACAAACACATGTCTAACATACAGCAAACACGTGTCTGACATACAACAAACACGTGTCTGACATACAACAAAAACAGGTCTAACGCAAAACAAACACGTGTCTGACATACAACAAACACAGGTGGAACACAGCAAACACAGGTCTAACACACAACAAACACACAACAACCACAGGTCTAACACACAGCAAACACAGGTCTAACACACAACAAACACAGGTCTGACATACAATAAACACAGGTCTAACACACAACAAACACATGTCTAACACACAACAAACACAGGTCTAACATACAACGAACATGTGTCTGACATACAACAAACACGTGTCTGACACACAACAAACACAGGTGGAACACAACAAACGCAGGTCCAATATTAAACAAATATCGGTCTTAAATACAACAAACACGTGTCTGACATATGACACACACATGTCTGACACACAACAAACACGTGTCTGACATAAAACAAACACATGTCTGACATACAACAAACACGTGTCTGACATACAACAAACACGTGTCTGACATATAACAAACACATGTCTGACACACAACAAACACGTGTTGACATATAACAAATACAGGTATAACACACAACAAACACGTGTCTGACATACAACAAACACAGGTGGAACACAACAAACACAGGTCTAACACACAATAAACACGGGTGAGAACACAACAAACACGTGTCTGACATACAACAAACACAGGTGGAACACAACAAACACAGGTCTGACATACAACAAACACAGGTCTAACACACAACAAACCCGTGTCTGACATACAACAACAAACACAGGTCAAACACACAACAAACACGTGTCTGACATACAACAAACACAGGTGGAACACAACAAGCACAGGTCTGACATACAACAAACACAGGTGGAATACAACAAACACAGGTCCAATATTTAACAAATATCGGTCTTAAATACAACAAACACGTGTCTAACACACAACAATTACCTATTCAACACAATAAACACTTGTCTATTTGATTTCCATGCTGTTCGGAAAGTACACTGACATCATACGGTATTATCTGTTTACTAACGGGTCCAGAACACGTAGGCACATTATCAACGACAAATCGGTTTAAATTCGGTGTTTACGCGACATACATCCCACCAACTGTGACATTTCAAATAGACCATATAAATGACGTAATTAAGTGAATACTAAACCAATTAACATTTCGGAAAACGGTTGTGTTTTGTTGACGTAGATCCCTCACCACGTGGGAGAAATCAGCAGGTGAATAGATGCACATCCGAGTGTGGGCACAAATGATACGTTAGCTTGTTTTTATTTATCTTTTATATTGATTATACTTTGTTAAATGTTGATGAAAATTTCATAACACATTTGTACTAAAATGATGAAATTAAATGTGATGTATCTAAATAAAAACCCACTTACATTTGGCTTTTAATTATTCAAGAATTTTATAGTGGTGTGCTATATTTACAGTAAAATGTTCAAGGAACTGCACTATAATATACGCGAAGATGACTCATTTATATGTATTCATTTCCATTTGTATATAAACCTACCAACAATGTACCCGTTAAAATCAGACCGCGGCTAACGCCATAAAAGGACCTGTGTGTATTATTTAGTATCCTAAGCAGTTTCGTTAGTTTTCCAAAGAAAAAACCCAGCGAAATATTTAATGGTGGTTTGACAGGGAACAGTTTGATTTTTTTGGCAGCTTGTAATTGATATTCTTGAATTAAAAACTAAAATATGTTTTCACGTGATTTACAGAGGAGCTTAAGAAACCCTTATCAGAATACATCAAGAACAACTTCCCGTCAGGCCTGGTGAAACTGATTCGGCTTCCGGTCCGGGTTGGTCTAATCAAAGCCAGGATACAAGGCTGGAAGACCTCTAAGGGACAGACCGTTGTGTTTTTTGACAGTCACATGGAAGTCAATATCGACTGGTATGTACGGACACAATGTCAATGCTGATTGTGTTTGTTTCCATTTCGTCTGAAGTTTACCAAACGATTGAAAAATTTTATTATCTGGTTAAAACATAATGAAATTTGAGGATTTTTAAAATTGATTTTATCTGGATTTCTACCCTCTTTGCTTTGAAGATAACAAACGAATCTATTACAATTTATTAATTTGTAATAAACTATAATAATATCCATGTATTTCTGAAATTGCCAGTTTTGCATATCAATTAGCGACATTTCTCTAATGGTCATATCATTACATCCCAGCCGATGATGTGAACAAAACACACAAAACACAGACCAGGTGAATTCAAATTCAGAATAGCATTTTTATTGTGGTAGAAACATGTGACAAAAACTCGTGGTTATAAGGTGTAGATGAAGTTTATTCGTTCGTAACTTTTAAACGCCCAGTCCCATGGAATGTAAAGAACAGACATTTTGACATGAACAGAGTGTGGAAGTATAAGTTGCTTTACTTATGTATTATAATTTCCTAGGGGCTACTGACAGATTTATACAAGGTGTTTTCCCATTACTAACCACAAATGTGATCAGCGAAGTACATAACACTGGATATATACATATATATTCCTTATCATTTGACCTTCAGACAACTTATCATATTATCCAAACACGTCCTGACGTTTGATCCATAAGGATTTACTTCATTCACGGTTCTTTGACCTTTAAACAACCAATCATATTAGGAGTATTGATTAATCATTTCATATTACACATGTACATCTAATTATACACTCTCTAATGCACATGTACGTCTGATTACACTCTGTAACACATGCACGTCTGATTACACATTCTCTAACACACGTACGTCTGAATACACACTCTCTAACACACATGCACGTCTGATTACACATTCTCTAACACATATACGTGTGATCACACACTCTCTGACACATGTACGTCTGATTACACACTCTCTAACACATGTACGTCTGATCACACACTCTCTAACACATGTACGTCTGATCACGCACTCTCTGACACATGTACGTCTGATCACACACTCTCTAACACATGTACGTCTGAATACACACTCTCTAACACACATGCACGTCTGATTACACACTCTCTAACACATGTACGTCTGATAACACACTCTCTAACATATGTACGTCTGATTACACAATCTGTAACATATGTAAACTCCACATACACTTAATGTAAACAAATAATTATGGTTGTTATAAGGCAACAGTCCTGCACCGAATTGTAAGCAAACCGATAGAAATTTCAACGAGCTAGGTGTTATATCTTGAGACTAACTTTCAAATCGCCTGAAAAGAAAGTAGCGTAGTTTAGATGTAAAAAGTGGCTGACCATTGCGAATATATGACTCGGTTAGTTGATGAAACAATATAAAAATTATGAAAAGTTCTCGTAATGAAACGACGATATAACAGAACGACATCGTTATCAAACGTGTGTGACAACTGGTTGATTGGGCTTGTGTGTCAGATAAGATAATGTCAGATTATCTAAAACGACATGATTTCTACTTCACCTTTAGGGTACAGCCGCTTCTTACTGAAATAAAGAAAAACAGGAAGACGGTGGCTATGGGTGTTCTAGACTATGTCAACAGCGAGACGTTTGAATATCGGTTTAACGAGGGCTACCTAACGCGATACGGGTTTGACTGGAGGCTGGTGTTTTTTGAGACGTTCTTCAGACAGGACCAAGTAGGGGTCACGGAAGATGCACCACGTCCGTAAGTAGAGGATCACGAAACTCTCACCGCGCGTGTAAGTTAACACCAGCATATGAGTCGCTCTGCTAAAAAGGGCATGGCCCCAAGCTTTGTATCTAGACTTTTAGTACAAGTCTATAGAGACAGTAATTATAATGGTATAGTGGATGAAATAGGAACAATTGATTCTTGGCGTCAGGCCGCTTAACCCCAATGTATTTATTATAGTTTAAAGGAAGCGTTTAATTATAATTGACAGCACTTAAATACGTTACTATCATTTAAACCTATACATTATCATAATCGTTTAATAACCAATTTATTAAATTAATTTTCCTCTTAGAAATTGTTCGCCAATGCGATGTGATTTTAATGTTATCACACCTCACTATTTGCAGTTTGTCTGGTCTTGTTTTTAAAAATATTTTCACATTGCGAATGGAGATATTAAACAAGATAAAATGGATATAACATTCTTAGAAAACAAAACTTACTGAGACTCTTAATCTTACTTACCAATAGTTTATTTCTTTTGAACAGGGTTAGATAAAAAAAAAATACCTGTTTTTTGTAAACCTTTCCGTGTAAAGTACACTAAGGTTTAAACGAATCCGTCAATTCTATTGTAAACGGGTACATGTAGCTTTAGTAGAAACAAAACGGTTAGTTCTTATAGTCACACTTCAATATAATTCATTTGAATGGTACTCTATCTATTACAAGCTGTATATGTACCATATGAATGTACATGTTGCTTTCCCTTTAGTTTTGCTGTGTATTTACTGTGTAACATTGTGTGATCATTAAAAGGGGCGCTGTAATGGTCGGGGCTGCTTACGCCATCGATAGCAAATACTTTGGACAGATTGGGACTTATGACGAAGGGATGAAAGTGTGGGGAGGAGAAAATCTTGAGATGGCTTGGAGGGTAAGTACATAAGGCTTGATGAGTTTCGAATGTCATTTTTACAATCATAAATGTACTTTAAGCCCGTCTGTGGTTTATTATGTTATTTATGTTCAGCAATTAATCACTTTTGTTATTTTTATATTTTCATGACCAGGCTACCTTGCTTCACATCATTCCTACTTGTCTAGTGATTTCTCGTCAATGACAAACAATCCGAGACTATAGAAAACATCACACTTTTTCGCGATATTTACTCTTCAGATATGCCCGAAGGCTTTATTATGCTATCTAGCACCATTAATAACCGCTTGCCTGATTGTTTCTGTTCAAAAAGCCAGTATTTTCTACAAAACATATGCAATTCTTTGGTTCATTTCCCACAGCCCGTGACGATTGACATTTCATGATTTTTAGTATTAAAATTATAAAGTTATATAAATGTTGATGATCACGTGTTTTGTGACACATTTTCACTAGGATATATCATAAAGAGAAAATGGTAACCAATGTTCTGTTTTATAATTTCATGATACATTTCTGAATTTAAAAACACTGTCTGAATAGAATGATTTGACTACTAGTAGGTTGTGCAGGCGTAGTGGATACGATATAAGTAACTACTTAGTTTAAGATATTAAGTGATACATATTAAGTGACGACAACCACAAGTAAATAGGGCAATCTACCAAGCACTTAGTATGTAATGAAATTGTAAATAGTGTACTACACTGTTAAATCGAATGATGTTTGCAATTCTGTTAAAATACAGGTTACTTGACCCAGAATCCAGAGGTCAACGTCTTTTCCTGTGTTGATCACGTGATGTGAATCACACAATAAATGTACAATGTTTTGACTACATACATAGAGGCGGCTTAAGGATACATACGGTCAGGATAAATTCATAATCAATTTTTAGACATTTTCGAAGTCTGTTGGATAAACTATCTATGTATTTAGAGTTCATCTTATCTGTATTTGTTTGAAACCTGTTGTGACTAAATCATAATCTTGCGGGTTTCCGTTGATTTGGCTCTTGGAACCTAGCCTTATACTTGTTCTTAAAGGCTTACAGAAGAACTAAAGTTGTGCCTTAGCGTTATGTTGATAGACCCAAACCCCCTAATATATAATACAGATGAACTAAAGTTGTGCCTTAGCGTTATGTTGATAGACCCAAACCCCCTAATATATAATGCAGATGAACTAAAGTTGTGCCTTAGCGTTATGTTGATAGACCCAAACCCCCTAATATATAATACAGAAGAACTAAAGTTGTGCCTTAGCGTTATGTTGATAGACCCAAACCCCCTAATATATAATACAGAAGAACTAAAGTTGTGCCTTAGCGTTATGTTGATAGACCCAAACCCCCTAATATATAATACAGAAGAACTAAAGTTGTGCCTTAGCGTTATGTTGATAGACCCAAACCCCCTAATATATAATACAGAAGAACTAAAGTTGTGCCTTAGCGTTATGTTGATAGACCCAAACCCCCTAATATATAATACAGATGAACTAAAGTTGTGCCTTAGCGTTATGTTGATAGACCCAAACCCCCTAATATATAATACAGATGAACTAAAGTTGTGCCTTAACTTTATGTTGATAGACCCAAACCCCCTAATATATAATACAGATGAACTAAAGTTGTGCCTTAACTTGTTAGTGTTAACGTTATGTTGATAGACCCAGACCCCCCTCCTAATATCTTATACAGGTAAATAGTGTAAGCTTATTCTTTAAATGTCGGCTGTTATTATCTGTAAGGTTATTTGAACAAAACCTTCGTTATTGATGGGCAGATAAGATAGGTACCCTTATATATCGAGAGCTGATTCCTTTGATTTCGAAAACTGTTTCCCCAGCGACTATTTTGGTGATTTCGTTGTACCATGGGACTAGTGCACCTTTCGACCAATTTGGACTTTTCCAGTCGCCTCATGAGTTTCGTTATTTTAGGCCCCTAGTATCGCTGTCTAGTCTTACAATGACGAAACGTCTGTATACATCAAGCAAAGCATTAGAAAACACGTGCACCCTTAAAATATAAAGACTATACGACGTTGTGGAGTGTTCGTTTTGTTTGCAAACATATAGAATACATATTGTTTGACATAACTGTAAAGTTCTTTCTTAAGATTAATCGTTGGTTTACAAAACTTCAACACGGTGAAAAAAGTAAACTCAACAAATGTCAAAAGATGTTTCTGTTGATTTCTTCGCAAAATTAATTAGGAAACTGACGGTAGGTATGGCGACAGACATCTTATTTACAATGTCAACAAATTTTACTGCAGAAACTTGCCTAGCGACAGATATGAAGTGTAAATCTTTTATCAAAATACTAATAAAATCTTCTCTAAGAGTAAATTATGTATTTGTCAATGTCTGTCAGTCACAGCAAAATGAACGATTGTATTCTAATATTTTTTGTTTTTGTTGTTTTATGATAATACATTGTGTACACTGTGGATGTTAGTTCTTTCCCATGTATTATTCATTTTGTCTTGAAATGGAGCCGCCTTCTTTTGATATATATTTGCATATCATTAATGCCATGCTGTTAAGATTTAATGGGACATTAACTAATGTTAAGTAATCTACATTGTGTTATCGGTAAAAAAAAAAAAAAAAAAAAATCGAAGGGACTGAAATTTTGTGAGTAATCTGTTTCATGAGCATTTGATATCGTAGATGAGAATTATGAATAATTAAATCCACTGATTTGAAAAGTTCTTATCAAACTTTTAAAAAATGTCTTTATTCGTGTACATAAGAATTTTTTGTATTCAGTGTTATAACCAATTCATGGGAACAATACTTACGAACAAAACCTAGAGGAATTTCTTGTCTCACCTGTGTAGTAGATACAAGGTCATAATATGTTTTAGATCGACCAATAACTGTACCAACGCTGTGATATACATGTCAATTATTTGGTGTTATTGGGCTTTTATCAATGTCTTGGTGCAAGCTATCGATCTGATTAAGGTTAGCGAGGTCAGGAAAATGATTTCGTTATTATATACCAAACCATTATATATGTATTCTATTGCTGATGGAAGAAGTGTTTTATGGAGTGATACGAGACACATACCAACGTATCCCGGCAAACTCAGCTACTCCCCTTTGTAAACATTAGGCGAGTCGATCAAACTTAGACTATGGTATGGTAAACATACACCAGTGTGGAAAATTACTGTTTTGTTTGGTTTCAAAACGTGTTCGTTCACTGTTAGATTAAAGAACGTTTTTGGAACCTGCAAGTTATGGAATGCGTGTCGTGTTCCTAGTATCTCTTTTGTGAGTTTTATATATACAATGTATTTTAAGGTCAGTAATACAATTTTTACTTCGTATGGGAAATTAACATTTTTCCCACAGACAAAAAGCGTTAGTCAAGACAAAAATCATCAACTGCAAATGAAGAAAGCTTCAAATGGGCGACACGAGATTAAAAAAGAACGTAAGAGACATAACAGGAGCGGCCATTACACACGGCCCAATTTAACTCACACTTTATGACCTATTGACCTTTTCAAATTCACCTTAATACACTCATAGAGGTCTATATAAGTCCTTAACACTTAACTTATGTTTCCGTACAATGCATCGATGTAAACTTTAAACAACAAAAAAACTATATTCTAAAAATATTCGTAAAAGTTAACGAGGGTTTCAAATGTCGGAGAAATGACAAACAGGAAAGTATTATTGAATTTCGCGTGCATTATCTATCAATGAAATAATGTATTAAAGAAATATATTTTTAAGAAAAAATCACATATTTTCGAATCTCACAATTATTTTAAACAATTAACGACAACGCCATATTTGTTTAATAAGTCCTCATTAACTTCAATCTGACGTTTCCGTTGTAAGGTCCAAAAAACAAGTACTATCCTTTATTCAACTGTGGAACATGACTTCTAAGATAGTGATGTTTATTTCATACTACCAGCTCTTTTGCAATTTGTTGCTACATGTATTGAAAGTTGTCATGTTTGACATCTTCTGTAAAGTTCAGTATTTTTAGAACAGTCTCAGGTGAATGTGAGAGGTGGAAGGTATGATTCCTACTTGTGTGATTTGTACTTCTCATGAAGCTATGATCACAAACCGCCATAGTTACGTCCTTCGTCAAGACACTTGTTAAATAGCATGCAGCAAAACTTTTGTGTTTTGAGACAGGATATTTTTTTCATCTCGAATTTATTTCTATCCCATTTTTCAAAAGTTTAGGGAATGTTTCTAGTTATTACTTAGGGTGAGTTTTGATGTTCGGATTTGATTTACAGAATTATTGCATTGACCGTATGTTGTAATGCTGATAAAACATGTTGTTAGGTTTGGATGTGCGGAGGGAGGTTAATCCATTTACCATGTTCGCACTTGGGACACATTGCCCGTACCCAGCCTTACAGTTTCCCTGGTGGTCGTCACCACATCGAGGTGTATAATTACAGGCGGGCAGTAGAGGTGTGGATGGAACCTCGATATAAAAACTTCATCTATGATCACTTCCCGGACATGAAGGTAACTGTCGGACGTTGTAATCTTTAACAAATCTTCCTTTTTCTAAAGACCAAGTCCACAATCGTCGTCGACTACCACCAAAAGTCAGTGATGCTGATTAACTGTGCTGTAATATCTAAATAGCATCATATTATCCTATAACGGTGTCAATTTTTGTATTAAAAAATTGGATGGTTAATGTTGTAACTGATATATATTAGCCAAGTAATCTCTGTTGGGAATTGATATAGAAATATGATAACTTTATTTTCCCCCTTGAAACCTACGCAGATTATACCTGAACAATGTGGAACGACATGAAGTCTTGTTGAGAAAGCGAATTCAAATGTTCTTAATTCTATGTATTTTTCGCATTGATCGTATGAATTATGACATATGTACGCTTTAATTGTGATAAGATTATTTCTGTTTGTATGTGAAATTTTCGTAACATTTCTTCTACATTGCTTTTGATTCAGCAATTGATTTACGTCATAAACATATGTATTAAATACCGTCTTGAACAGTTTATTTTTGAATGCAACACTATGACGGTATTCAATCAACACAAAAATGTATTGCAGTCATACGTGAATATCAAATTAACCGCTTAGTTGCGTTTGATGTATAATATGAATCAGATCTTTTTCTCCATTACGAATATTCATTTGTATTGTTGTCAATCTGGATCTGGATAGCAAATTTGAGAGAAAATATCCGCCAGACATTTTTATAGTTAACGATAAACTTGACCACGTTTAGGTCAAGGTTTGTAGGAAGTAGATTGCCTCCGGCAATATAGGTATATACCATGCATGTCGTAAACATCATTATTCACCTTACATATGGTCCATGAACCCATCGGACCATGACAAAACATGACTCGTATTTTGGTCAGGTAATGTCGTTTGTATGTATTCATATTCTAATTAATGCGCGATTGCGAATCATTACCACATTATTAGGGCAGTATGAGGGCATTCACCTTAATCCGGACACAAAATACAATTACGTCATAATCAGTTATTCATTTAAACTGAATCGCATTGCAGATAGAGTATAAAGGTTAAGTAATTAGCTAATTGAGATCCTTATGCATTATTTGTTTAGAGCCAGTATGTCGAAAATGACATTGGGCATTAACTAAGGGATTTGATACGGCGTAAACTGTTATAAGCAAACAAATGTGACATGTGAGTCTGGATACACGTTCAGCCTTATTGTTGAATTGAAGAAATTATATTGATGTTTTCTTAAAGCATGTGTTGTCTTAATCAGAGAAAATATGTTTTTTTTAATTCTCAGACTATGGATTCCGGCGACATATCGGAAAGACTGAAATTGAAGGAGCAGTTAAAGTGTAAAAATTTCACGTGGTATATGGACAATATTTGGCCAGAGCTGGCTATATTTGACAGAAACGTGTTTGCCTGGGGATCAGTAAGTGTGTTACGATATCGCATTTATTACTCAATTGATTATCGATCGTGGATACCTTGGATATATTCAAGTTGATATTGTCGAATTGCCTCTTGTTTACACACATTGTACAACAACTGACAAAATGATCAGCTTGTATTTTTCTCCAATACACACGTGTCTTCACTCAGATAATGTATTAGTTCGATGTATAGCAATGCCATATCAAATAGTTAAGATGATTTGCAAAGAATATGCATAAATATGTAGTTATTGTACTATTGTATTAGTAAAACTTAAGTATCGAAGATTCAGTGTAAATCAATGGGTCATTACTATCATAAACACAAGAACTGAAAACGTTGGACAAGTTTAAAACATTATGAGGTTGTTCTAAACAAGGCGACAATTTAAATTTCTATGTATATCAATCTCTCCATCACGTTTATACGAGCTTATCATATTGATGATGATCTAAAGTCATTTTATCTTGTGATATCACATTACATAATGTCTTAATAGTCCATGCTATGTGGTTTAGGAATTCTGTCTGTCTTTCGAATCACATCTTGTTTTTAATAACAAACATGAATTACTATACTTATCATTATCGATGGTAAGGACGTTTAATACTCTATGTGACAGTCATGGTATACATTTGAGTTTTTGATTTAATGTACAAAAAGAAACAAGAATGTCGTGTACAAATCGTTCGATATGGAGTTATTATCAGTTTATTTATATCTGGATTTAATCCGTTAAATTCAATTAAAACATTCCATTTCAGGCTCGAAATCTCCAGGACAACCGCTGCCTAGACAACCATCAGTACTTGTTTCAGGCTCCAGAAAATTTATTTTTAGAAACTTGCCACTATCATTTAGCATCACAGGTGAGTTCATATATATCTGTTCAGATATATGCCGTCCATAAATGCTACACCTGAATGACCATAAAATATCGTATCCGACGGCCAAATCTTAAGCAATCTAGAGACAATGGTATACTCAGCATTAAATGTAATTTTTTAAAAATAAAATACATTATCAGGAGATTCGACTCAAGGAATTACTATCATACACTTGTATATGTTGCCTCACGCAATCGCTAACCATCACAGATATAACGACATTAAAAGAGACTTAGGATATATCATCGATATCTTTAATCGTTCAATGACATAACTGCTAGCTGTTATTACAACAGAACTCTACGAATTTTATAAACTTCAATATAAGCCTTTTCACTTCATTGCACACGTATTTCTGATCCGCACACGCTAATATCTTAACACATGTCAAAATAATTCCGTACATTTTAATCTATCAAACTCCATCTTGAAGTATAAGATTTTCGTCTGATGTCAATTTTATAGATGATGCAAGCTTCATCCTTTCCCCTTTTGTTTCCGTTTTGCAAACCTTTACCGCAGTAGAATGTTTTAAAACCTTGTTTAGTAATTGTTTTATGATCTTTCATGTCACCGTTTGGATTTGTTCGGTTTTTAATTTTCAAGACCGAAATAATATAACCTCATTCTACAATGAAATGAAAGGATATAAAATCCCCGTCCTGTCGTTTAACAGGGGTTTTCCTGGAGGGAGGACAAGCTCCTACAGACATCTCTTCAGTGTGTGGTACTGAAGCAAATGTATGATGGGGCGAGGCCTATGCTTGAAGACTGCATAATCGGACCACGTGACACTTGGATACACGAGAAGGTGAGTAGTCGGTATTACCTTATGATTTTTATTTTCACAATTTTTCTTCTTATCAAGCCGACGTCATTTGATTTTGTATTCCTGTAAATTACAGTGGTAAGGTTATGGTTGTATATATTTCCTGAAAGTCTTTTACCTGATCGCATTTGAGTACTAACGGTTATAATAATAGCCTTGAATCTAGTTTGTAATCCATTTAGACAGTTACTCAGTGCGCCAAACTTTTTGTTGTCCATTTCTCATCTTGTTTTCCATATTTATAATTAACCAATGCTCATACTAGTACATACAGAGGTGCCGGAGATGATAACAGTACTTAGACATCAACTATAGGCAAAATCATATCGTTAGCATTTTCGTTAATTGTTAATAGGAAACTTGGTTTACTGTCGGATGATAAATGATTGCTCGTGTTCAGCACTCCGAAGTGAAATGTTATATATTACAACATTATAATCAACATGATAATTGTCTTTCTGTGTTATTTTTGTTACACAATGTTGTTTTGTGACGTTCTAACCGTATTTCTTTGTATTTGAAAAAAAAGTTACAGCAAATATATTTACCTTCACAAAAATGAACGTCTATTTTAAAGAATATTCTTACATTACATATATCTTAATCACGTTTTAATGTAAATATGATTTTGGTATATGATGAACACGCGGAGGGGTTGTTTACACCTGAATGCATCTGACAAGGACACAAACTTCTCAGATATAGCTTCACCACATGACATCTGAATAGAGAATTTAATTGAATCATCATTTCATGTGAAATTACTATATAATACGTCAAGCAATTTTAATTATTGCCGACTTTATCAAAATATTTTTTATCATTATTAGACACTTGTGACTTAAATTATAAAGTCAGAATGTGGATGACAAAATCAAACGAAGGTAGCTGTTTTGCGCCATTTCTTATTTTTAATTGTACATATAATGCTTTATTTCATTATTTCCGAATAGAAAAAACAATAATAAACAAAAGCGCTGCAGGGAATATTACAGTAGTGACATATCTGATTAAACATTTTCATGGTCGAACTCACAATATAAACTGAACATAACAGCATTTTACTCTAGGTAGTTTTTGATAATATCACGTACGCTTTGCTTTAAGCACTCTTGTTTCCACCTTCCAGAATGGGTTTATCAAGCACGAAAGAAGTGGTTTGTGCATCGATATGGATCTCCAGGGACCAGTAATGAGGACGTGTCAACCAACTGCAATATCTCAGAAATGGCAGTTTAATAACTACAATTATTGATCACCGTCCAGCATAATCAACCACAATTGTCTGTGTAGTAAAAGGCAGTCAAGTCGGACCATAGTCCATACAAATGTAATGTATGTGTGGGTATTTTTATAGAAATGTTTTTAACTTATGGAAGTTTGATATAATGTCTGGTGCGCCTTTGCAGGTGAATGCAATGAAGTGATTTTTCGGTATAATTTGAAATGAACTACATACCTTTTGCAGCACCATTTACTGCCATTTTTTGTGTACTGTTATGTAGGTATTTGTAACAAGTACTTAACAATGAATCTGAAGTAGATTTACTTCATTTCATATGATTCCTTGACCGACATACATCCAAGATTTTCTTGTCTGGACTTTCAATTGTTTAATTATTGAATCATTTACATAGCTCAGCAATGTGTAGTATGTTTATTTCGCTTTTTCATAATGAATTCTGCATTGAAGTATACTTGAAAAATATATCTTAACATTATTTATTACGCTGATAAAACTTTCCCCATTTCACGTCGTTTGTATTGAAATGTCGGTGTTGGATAAGTTTAATGACTTAAAAGTATTTTAGTTAACCCGTCTGTCCTGTTTTATTATCTCGGTATTATAGCAGACAATTGATTTTTCCTAGTTTCTTTCAATATCTGTCAATTTTGATGTGATGTGTGTTTGTATGTGTACTTGTCTATGAATCATAACAGACAATTAATTTTCTTCTAGTTTCTATCAATATCTGTCAATTTTGATGTGATGTGTGTGTGTATTTGTACTTGTCGTAAATTTTAATAGGGTAATGCATTAAAGTAATTTCAATATTTTGCGTGTATTTATGGAAACTCTATAAGGGTTTAGTAAAATGATAAGTTAAAATTCCTCGTTTCAGAATCTTCATGTTACGAGTAAGCTTCCTTATATACGTATTGTATATCATTCGTATCTATATAGGAACAGAGACATTCTTACATTGTATGTCGCTATCGGATCAGGTATCTATTTCGATATGGGAGACAGTGTTAAATTCATTATGTACTTAGTCTAAGCATTACTGATCGATGGAAATCAAAATCTTAACAACTATCTTCACATATATATATGATATCGATTGCTTTACTCCGATTTGATGGCTCTGGAGGGGAAATAATTCAGTTATTGATAAGATATTAATATGATTACGGAAACAGTAAATATTAGATGTTGTCGTCATGAGACCATTTCTGGTTTCTTAGTTACATAATTAAGCTTTACTCGCACAAAAATTTGTTTTAAGTCATTTTCCTTTACCTGTTTGAGAAAAAGACAAGAAGTGAAATGAAACACCCGGACTCTCTGGTTCGTTTCGTTGAAAAAGCATTAATCTTGATTGTACATGTAATATATTTAGTTTGCATGAAAAAAAAAATGTAATGTAACGTTTAATGTCATATAATTAATTGTCAGGTTTTATAAAGGTCATATTGTTATATCAGTCACTATGTGGACAAACATAAACGGTGTTCATCAACATACATTGGCATTACATTTGACATTTTCATGCCAATGAAATTAAATATATATATATCGGTGTGACACCTGTTCTTACCATTGATAGACTAAGGTCTCCGTTACTGGATGAAGTTTGGTAACAGGGTATCAGCAGTGTGCTATTGTAGGATATTTGTAACGACTTAATTGCGTCCCAGGTGTTGATAAGTCTGTGTATATGTTTTTTTCAGTATCTCAAGGTGTAATGAAATATAATTAGGTTGTGCTCCTGTCATAATTCACCACCATATGATATTGCATGCACATTTTGAAATGGTTAATTACGTATAATGAATGTGTTGTTTCATTTCTGACCCAAATGTTGTGAACGTTCATTTTGCCGCGGTAGTAGAACATAATTCATAACATTTTTAATTAAAAAAAAATCCGAGTCATTATGCATCATGTAATAGATGTCAAGAGAGGACATTACTCATGACACGAGTGGACATTCTGATAAGTTGTCATGGTAACGGAGTGTATAGTAGACAATGATATAATCCAAAATTATGTAGAATTAAGTACACCGATGTATGCGTGAAAGAATTTACATACTCGTTAACTGCAATATATTGTAATACATATTTAAGGTAAAGGTGTCTTTGCATGAGTTTTATTTATAGTGACCAGGGTGCATTTCACACATTTTTGATAATAAGAATTCTCCATTACAAAATGATAACGTGAAATTGATATAGCATTCCAATTCTAAATGGCACCATTGTGTATCGGTGTCTAGATCCCAAAATCTGATGTGATTGGTGTTTGCTCTAGTATTCCCGGTGGTTTCATTACTACCATCCTTGTATCACTATTTGATATGACCTAATTGATGGAATACAGTAATTGTTTCTGAACACTCAAATTGAGATAATTAGATCGTAAACCATTGACATGTATATTCACCAGTTATGTTACTGATAATTCATTACCTATGTGTGTCCGTCCCGTGCTGAAAAATATCATATCATGAGAACTTCTTTTAAAACAGATTTGGGTCATATTTACCCTATGATTTTATAGCACCAAGTTTTATTCTTTATATAGGCAAATGTCAAAGCAAAAATGGTCAAAGATGACATTTGACAACATCTACAAATCCATCAAACAATACTTTGTATATGCATAGGAGCCGGAGCATTCATGTCTTACAGTAATTATTGTTATACTGGAATAAGAATAGCCGGTAAAACGATCGGAGGATATTTTAACAATATATAATTTCTCCCTTTTGCAATATATTTAAAGTATCTAAAATGAGTTTTCATTTCATTTGAGATTTAATGATAGAGGCTTTGATTTTTATTCATTTTTCGGACCTCGGCAGGCAGAAATGAAAACTTCGAGACGAGTTTCATTAAATCTCATATAGAATTAAAACAAATTAAAGACACATTTTATCACAAAACAGTAACATTTCAACTGCTTAAAAAGAAATTTTGAAGGAGAAAATCAAACGGAGGCAGCAGTTATGTTGCGCCATTTTCAACTCGTAACGTAACATTATTGTCCATATGACACCAAAAGCGATTTCTAACTGGCGCGCAGCCAATGTAAAATGTTCTATGGTTCATTGCGTCAGTAATATAGGATAAAAAACAATATTGTTCTCACATTTTGCATTACATCTAAATTAGTGTAAATGTTTGTTATTATTGTATAGGGTAATTTGATTACAGGGTGCATTTGATTTTATCAATATGTGTATTTGCCTGTACTAAGTTTTTTAACAGTTACGATTTTAATGTAGCATATGGAAAGTAAATATGCATGATTTGATGTGTACAATGTTTTTTATATCAAAAATATAATTTGGAGTATGAATATCAGTATATCAGTATAGAAAAAAGTATATAAAAAGGATGTAGGGATATAAATCATACTTATATATAAAACAAATTAAGGGAGTGTTATTATCAGTTTGTCATATAGTTTACATCTGCAATAGTCTAAGACGAGAAAATATCTCGTAATATGAGGATGACACATTTCCTGTATACACAGTATACTAAATATGTGTAATTATGTAACTTTGAAATGCCCTGTAATTCATTATCTTGCCATGAAACGTAACTGAAGTTCTGAGAATATTTTTCTATTTTTGAAACTGGATACATGTCATGTTATTAAAATTGATATAAACTTCTAAATAGTATATGGTTGAAATAATGATTCTATAAAATTATATTTTCTGTATTTATATTACGACATAACAAAAACAAAAATAATGAAAGGAATTTGAAAGTGTTTAGGTTATTTATAGACAGGGTAAGTAATACAGTCATAATTGTGATAATTAATCCAACATCATCAGAATCATCTGTATACACGTGTCGTTATTGTTAAGTCATTCATCACGATGCTTATGTTAGGAGTTGAACCTTAAAAAATGCTATCCAACTTTGCTTCACTGCCATATCAGTTTAACTTATACATGAATAGTTTATAGTCTGTACACATAAAGTCAGTGTAATCTTCCCTAGGGAAATACTTATAAAAACATCGGAATCCAACTAGGTAATTGTTCGTTGAATACATTCATTTTCTCTTCAGAATAAGGAAATGTTAATTTTGTTTTATATACTTTTATGCATCCTCCATCTTTTCACATTAACAGCCAAAAGAATTATGTGAATAGATATGGTCACCGTATGGTGAGCTCTAATACATTTTCCAAAGATATTAATACATAGACATAATGACGACACACATGAAAAATACAGCATGACATTATATATAAAAAATTGGGGGATACAAAAACATGATTTGTCAGAAAATATAATTATCACTGATGAAACGCATGGGTGGGGGCGTAAAACTCCGCCACTTAAGCTTATCTCCCCTTCAGAAGAGGATATCAAAAGGAAATACAACTTTTGTTCTATGTCCTTTTATCTGTATATTTTAAATAGTTGTTTTAAAGATTTGGCAAATGATTTGTTGTCTTTTTATATGAAACCAACTTTAAAATGTCGTATTTATTTTGAATCCGGTATCAAAACACTCTTAGTGATTAGAAACTTACTTACACAAAAGGAACACTTCATTTTTTCTGTATGGATTTGTATATATATGTACATACTGAGTTATTGCTTAACATGAATGACCATATTTACAAAAAATATGAATTATTTCTTGTGTTCATAATCGCTAATCTTTTTGAAGATTTTTGGTGATGTTTGAAAATAAATCCTTGTAATAGATCCTCCTAGTTCAGTCAGATCTCATGAATTCAGTATGTAAAATAAATCCCTGTAAATAACTACATTTTATTATTGTAATACTTTTAAAGGAGCTGGTTGTTAAGTAAATACCTGATCATTCTTTAGTGCCATATTTTAGAGGGTGACCTTGTTCTATCCGAACGTTTATTGTTATAAATCGTGTATATGTTGAAGTGCCATAATGATGTTTGTGATTGAAATTTGGTAATTTGATAATACTGTATAAATGATTGCTGGAAGTTTGTGTGATAATGTAAACGCCTGAGTATTTGACATTGACATTGCCATGCCGTTGACTGTGTGGTCAGTTACACACTACAGTCCATCATGTGGTGGAATTTCTGATAACGAGTACCTGTAATAAGAAAAGTCAGCATGGCATAAGTTTTCTCATTTGCTGTATTAACAGAAATCGCTGTCATGAGTTGTACTCGAGTAATCAAAATGATTAATTGTCGACTTTCTGGAATAATGTAAAGCCTCGTCTGTTATATAAATTGATTGTAAGAATAACACATGACGTGGCCTGTTTTATGAGTTGTAATAACAGACTACACATGACGTGGCCTGTTTTATGTGTTGTAATAACAGACTACACATGACGTGACCTGTTTTATGAGTTGTAATAACAGACTACACATGACGTGGCCTGTTTTATGTGTTGTAATAACAGACTACACATGACGTGACCTGTTTTATGTGTTGTAATAACAGACTACACATGACGTGGCCTGTTTTATTGGTTGTAATAACAGACGACACATGACGTGGCCTGTTTTATGTGTTGTAATAACAGACTGCACATGACGTGGCCTGTTTTATGAGTTGTAATAACAGACTACACATGGCAAGGATATATTTGTGATGAAAACCAACATGTGATTGTCAAAATTAAGAATCACAAAAAACATTTAAAGTAATATTTTTGAATTGTTGATATTGTTATTAAAAATATGTTTAAAATGAATTTTGTTCTCTTTCTTGAACCAGAAGATCATTATGCAGTGTATACTGTATTTAAATTTCTTGATAATTTCTTCCTTCCGAAGGAAAGAGTATTACGTGCTTGCCTGTAGTATGCCGTTCTGTCACCATAATGATAAAATACATTTTTTCACGAATACTTTGCATGTTAATTAAAGTATTTGTAGTTAAATATACATAAATATTTATGTAATGATAATTACCAGATGAATCAGATGTTTGCTGTGTCATCAAGTTAAAGTTCACAGAAAAGTATACTTTTATTATCATAATCTCGAATTCTTGTACAAGATACTTCCTTACATAAATCTCTGAAGTATGTTTCAAATCTTCGCTGAATTTGGTAGTAGGACCAACATCAAGAATTGGTAAACAAATAAAGCAAAATTACCTGTGAAATAAAGGACGATAATTCCTTGTTGATTTAACTGCTTGGTGATGAAAGCGCCTTTGAAGCGTCTTCAAAAAATTATGACAATGGGAAAGGGGATACCACGAAATTCACAGTAATTGTATTAAACTTGATCAACTTATGGTTCAGTCTGAAGAAACAGATGCATAATGCATGTCTTTTGGTGATAAGGTCTGTATTATATTCTATCACACATCATATTAAAATAATCTTACTGTATATACATATCTACAATACATCTATATGATAACTTCTTTTTAACAAATTGTATGTGTTAAAATGTTCCATTTTGTACCGTTTAGCTGCGATTGTAATTTACGATCAATCATAGGCAGATTTGGGATAAGTCCGGGGACTGAAAAAAAATACACTCCTAAACACTAATAGATGCAACGGCGCATAACTTTACTCTTGGATTTTGAATAACCCCAAGAGAAATGGCTAACCTAACTGACGACAGGCGGTTAAAACAGTATGACCGTGTGAACTTGCAAGAAAAACGACAAATACACATATCGTAACCGAGGCTGGACTGAGGAACATTTCGACCGTGCATATTTATGGATTCATGCGAACTTGTCCGAAAATAACTGGTTGACTAGGTAACAAAGTTTATGAATTTCTGTATAAAACGATCTACATTTGTCAAAAAAAAGTGTGCAAATGTCTAAGTTAAACGAGGAATATAGTTCTTTGTAAAAGAGAGTTATCCCCCTTCCACCAACGAGAGCAATATCCGGTACAGGTAAATGGACACACCTGTACAGGTGTAGCCACTGCTATGTGTATTGATCAGAGCAGACACATGTGTCACGTTGTTAATCTGTAAACCTATTAGCGTACATTTTGTACCAGGGATAACAACGCCAGTAAACCAGCCATGAACGACTTACATGTGCTTCGTCAGTGGGTGACGCACAGTTTATAGCATTTTTCTGAAGTCTCCACTGTAACCTCGGCGTCTGACTGTTGTGGTTATGTGTGTAATGGTGAATATGTGACTGTTAAGAAAAGTTGTTTAAGTCATGCAAACAATTCAAAATTATTGTTTCAAATTTGAAAGAAGAAAATTTCCGTGGCAGTATGAGGCTATTGTATCGGTACGTGAGTGTTGCCTGTATTCTGATTCTCGTGTTGCTAGTATTGTACAAACATTTTAGGGGGAAAAAAGGTCCTGATAATAACACAGTCCATCTCCGGAACTGGGGACCAGGGGCTGTCTTCTATAACCCACTGGGAAATAAATCCACACGCATCAATCTGCCAGACTCCGGAATCAAACTTCAGAATGACGGACCCCCGGGGGTTGGTGTTCAAATGGAAGATCAGTGGATGTCCAACCTACGGAAACGTCATAATATTAACATATATCTCAGTGACTCGCTTCCTCTCAACAGGGAGATACCAGATTCCAGACCTCCGGGGTAAGTCCGGAAACTCGTAACATGGACAACATTTATGTATATGTAGAAATCAAGCCTAAAACATAGGCGTTTGAAATTATGACTGTTAATTGAGATATCAATCTTATGAAATAGGGTATAGTGATATATATGTCAGTTTACATAATGTAGAAAAACACTTGTGAACAGCGATATATATCAACATACCGTCAAAGGCTTATTCATGTAAAAAAAACATGGTCTAAATGATACATACATTCTAAAACAGAGTAATTATCCATTCATAGATCATGTTGAGCCGAAAACCGTTTATCTAGCCGACTGCTTATAGTGGAAGGGAGATAAATCTCATTGGTGAAAGTAGAAATGCATGAGAAACTGACTTCTGGCATACGATTTTGTATTTTATAAACATCATGGACAGTGCAAACATTTTCCAAAAATGTCACCTGTACATACATGTTTTATTTCCATGTCCGTTATTTCCTATATACATAGACGAAAAGACATCTATAAGAAATAATTGATATCCTTTGTATACAGTTAAGAAATAAATCTGTGTATTTACTTTTTTATTCGATTAACAAAGAATCTGTTGTTGAAAAATATGTTCCTGACATATCCTCTGTAACAGCGAATTTCAACGTGTAAAACGTTACACTGTATTCCAGTTGTAAGACGCTGACTTTTCCTGCAAGTCTTCCAACACTCAGTGTGGTGATCGCTTACCATCAGGAATGGCCATCTGTCCTCCTCCGGACAATCTACAGCATTGTCAACCGGACACCGAAATCCATCCTTAAAGAAATCATATTGGTTGATGACGCTAGCGAGTCAGGTAAGTGAATGTTATACGTACGCACGTGCTAATTAAAAGCAATTATAATTATGCAGAATTGTAACATTAACAGTGAATGACATTTAGGATCCATTTGGCAGTTATATATTTTTCGTTGTACATGTTTGTACGTACATCGATGTAGATATATACTATGGAATCATTGAACTAGTAGCTGATATTATATTTATGTTCTCGGAATTAAAATCCGCTGATTTCTTTTATTTAAAGCTTCATGTTATACTGTAATATAACGAAATATTACGTAGGTATCATGTGTAATGTTCATTTTACATACAGTCAATCCAATATGTCTACTGTATTGTGAACATCACTTTTACCAGTGATTTTGTCGAGTTGTTTTAGGCGAATGCTGAGAAATACTACCAATATAGTGACAAGCACCATTACAAAGAGATATAGTATGTTTCTAAAATATGTACAAATTCCACAAGAAAATCACAAATCAAGCACTCAAATATCTGGAGTCTCATATATGTAACATATATGAATCAGTTCACTCTTTTATTAGAGCGGTTCTTTAAAGGATTTGACTCTCTTTAATTTCCATCCAGTCAAACATATTCAGTTTACAGTTTCCTGTAATTTGAACCGGCTACTACATGGATGACGTGAGTTGGTATTGCATTTTTAAACAGAAGTCTACCAGACGGAAGTGTACCGTTATATTCGACAGAGTTTTGATGAAGACCTGGTGAAGATGTTGACATTACCTGTTCGGTCAGGACTCATTCGAGCACGACTCGAGGGATTTAAGCACGTGACAGGACAAACTGTTGCCTTCTTCGATAGTCATATAGAAGCCAACATTGACTGGTGAGAATATCCATTGATGATAAGTGTATCACCGAAGTCAGGTTTACAAAAAAAAAAAAAAATAAAATAAACGTTATCACGTGATAATATATATTACTCATTTGTTAACAAAACTGATGCACAATATAAAAGGAACAGGCTAACTTTTTAAATCTAATTCTAAAGATATGATTTCATGTTTTACACTTGAGAAATATCGAGTATACTAGATATAAGATAAAATATGTAACTTTAGACATAATAACACCCACTTTATCATGTTCTTAGAGATTGAACATCTCTTAATGCGTTTATTTTGAACTAATTGGGGTAGACATCAACACACTACTAAGGATATGTTATTTAAGTTCGATTAAGCACAAGTAACCTTACCTTTCTTAGCCTTGTTGTTGTTTTGATTTGTTTTTATGACATTCATTCCAGGATAAGTATAATAAGGCAATAAAAATGTCGATGTAAACGACCGGTGTGAATAATTTTGCAATAAGAGTTTGAAAATCACGTAATTCATCGAATTTTAGGGTTTGCGTTTTCTCTGTCACTCCCGATATCTCAACGGTTTTCTCTGCCACCCCCGATATCTCGACGAGTTAGGCCCTAAGCATTACCGACGGTTCATTAAAGGACGAAATGTCTGTTTTATGCAGTTTGAATCATTATTCAGCTTTGCAGTATCATTATATAATTCTTCTATTGAAAGGTGTTTTTCACCCTTGTATTTCTTGAACAACCCGTTTATGACCCCTCCCCTTTGAAATCGATGACGCCCACACAAATGTCCATCTGGCACCCTGAAATATTGAGATCAACAGTATGTTATTGTTTTTCTTTTTGGAAGGGCACAACCTCTGTTAGAGCAAATATTGATGGATTATCGGACAGTCGCTTTGGCACAACTCGACAACGTAGAGAAGAACAGTTTTAAGTATACCTTTACTAAAGGCTATAGAACACGGTACGGATTCGACTGGCGTCTCCATTTTTTCGAGACGGAATTTCGACAGGACCAGTTGGATGGCAAATCTGATTCTGACGTCTTACCGTACGTTAAGTATAGTAGATTTCAGCATCTTAATATAGTGTTTGATCTTATGTTTTGACAATGTATAGATATATCAAATATAGAGTTGTTTTATATATATGGAATAGAATATTCAATTTGAAAACTATTTCAGCTATGGAATTTGGTATGGTGTTTTTACGAGTGAATGTGTTTTAGAACAGGACATTACTGTTGTTTTCTGTACATGGGTACGTGATGATTGCTCTGTTGTTTGTTGTAGAGGTGTGGTAATGGTTGGGACTGCCTTTGTGATGATTGCTCTGTTGTTTGTTGTAGAGGTGTGGTAATGGTTGGGACTGCCTTTGTGATGATTGCTCTGTTGTTTGTTGTAGAGGTGTGGTAATGGTTGGGACTGCCTTTGTTGTGGATGTGAAATTTTTCGAAGAGATCGGCACATATGATGAGGGAATGAAGATCTGGGGTGGCGAAA